GGAAGCGCTCCGGAAAAATATATATATGTATATATATATATATATCCATTTTGCAACTAGTTGAAACATGTTGCTGTTTCCACATCCAAATAACGGGAAGCACTCCGGAAAAAAATAAATAAATACATATATATATATCCATTTTGCAACCATTTGAAACATGTTGCTGTTTCCACATCAAAATAACGGGAAACGCTCCGGAAAAAATATATATATATATACATATGTATATATATATATATATCCATTTTGCAACCATTTGACACATGTTGCTGTTTCCACACCAAGATAACGGGAAACGCTCCGGAAAAAAAATATTTATATATATATGTATATGTATATATATATATATATATCCATTTTGCAACCATTTGAAACATGTTGCTGTTTCCACATCAAAATAACGGGAAACGCTCCGGAAAAAAATATATGTATATATATATATCCATTTTGCAACCATTTGACACATGTTGCTGTTTCCATACCAAGACAACGGGAAACGCTCCGGAAAAAAATATATATGTATATATATATATCCATTTTGCAACCATTTGAAACATGTTGCTGTTTCCACATCAAAATAACGGGAAGCGCTCCGGAAAAACAAAATATATATATCCATTTTGCAACCATTTGACACATGTTGCTGTTTCCACACCAAGATAACGGGAAACGCTCCGGAAAAAAAGAAATATATATATATATCCATTTTGCAACCATTTGACACATGTTGCTGTTTCCACACCAAGATAACGGGAAACGCTCCGGAAAATATATATATATATATATATATCCATTTTGCAACCATTTGACACATGTTGCTGTTTCCACACCAAGATAACGGGAAACGCTCCGGAAAAAAATATATACAAATATATATATATATATATATATCCATTTTGCAACCATTTGACACATGTAGCTGTTTCCACACCAAGATAACGGGAAACGCTCCGGAAAATATATATATATCTATATATATATATATCCATTTTGCAACCATTTGAAACATGTTGCTGTTTCCACACCAAGATAACGGGAAACGCTCCGGAAACAAAATATATATACATATATATATATATATATATATATCCATTTTGCAACCATTTGACACATGTTGCTGTTTCCACACCAAGATAACGGCAAACGCTCCGGAAAAACATAATATAGATACATATATATATATATATATATATCCATTTTGCAACCATTTAAAACATGTTGCTGTTTCCACACCAAGATAACGGGAAACGCTCCGGAAAAAAGATATATATCCATTTTGCAACCATTTGAAACATGTTTCTGTTTCCACACCAAGATAACGGGAAACGCTCCGGATTAAATATATATATATATATATATCCATTTTGCAACCATTTGACACATGTTGCTGTTTCCACATCAAAAATTCGGGAAACGCTCCGGAAAAAAAAGAAGATACATTTTGCAACCATTTCACACATGTTGCTGCTTCCACACCAAAAGAACGGAAAGCGCTCCGGAAACAGAAGGAGATACATTTGCAACCATTTGACACATGTTGCTGTTTCCACACCAAAAGACCGGGAAACGCTCCGGAAAAAGACAAAGAAGATACATTTTGCAACCATTTGACACATGTTGCTGTTTCCACACCAAAAGAACGGGAAACGCTCCGGAAAAAGAAGAAGATACATTTTGCAACCATTTTAAACATGTTGCTGTTTCCACATCCAAAAACCGGGAAACGCTCCGGAAAACAAAGATCTCCATTTTGCAACCATTTGAAACATGTTGCTGTTTCCACACCAAAAGAACGGGAAACGCGCCGGAAAAAAAAGAAGATACATTTTGCAACCATTTGAAACATGTTGCTGTTTCCACACCAAAAGAACGGGAAACGCTCCGGAAAAAAAAGAAGATACATTTTGCAACTATTTGACACATGTTGCTGCTTCCACACCAAAAGAACGGGAAACGCTCCGGAAAAAAAAGAAGAAAAAGAAGAAGAAGAAGATACATTTTGCAACCATTTGACACATGTTGCTGTTTCCACACCAAAAGAACGGGAAACGCTCCGGAAAAAGAAGAAGAATATACATTTTGCAACCATTTTAAACATGTTGCTGTTTCCACATCAAAATAACGGGAAACGCTCTGGAAAACAAAGATCTCCATTTTGCAACCATTTGAAACATGTTGTTTCCACACCAAAATAACAGGAAACGCTCCGGGAAAAAATATCTCCATTTTGCAACCATTTGAAACATGTTGCTGTTTCCACACCAAAAGAACGGGAAACGCTCCGGAAAAAAAAGAAGATACATTTTGCAACCGTTTGACACATGTTGCTGCTTCCACACCAAAAGAACGGAAAGCGCTCCGGAAACAGAAGGAGATACATTTGCAACCATTTGACACATGTTGCTGTTTCCACACCAAAAGACCGGGAAACGCTCCGGAAAAAGACAAAGAAGATACATTTTGCAACCATTTGACACATGTTGCTGTTTCCACACCAAAAGAACGGGAAACGCTCCGGAAAAAGAAGAACATACATTTTGCAACCATTTTAAACATGTTGCTGTTTCCACATCCAAAAACCGGGAAACGCTCCGGAAAACAAAGATCTCCATTTTGCAACCATTTGAAACATGTTGCCGTTTCCACACCAAAAGAACGGGAAACGCTCCGGAAAAAAAAAGAAGATACATTTTGCAACCATTTGAAACATGTTGCTGTTTCCACACCAAAAGAACGGGAAACGCTCCGGAAAAAAAAAGAAGATACATTTTGCAACTATTTGACACATGTTGCTGCTTCCACACCAAAAGAACGGGAAACGCTCCGGAAAAAAAAAGAAGAAAAAGAAGAAGAAGAAGAAGATACATTTTGCAACCATTTGACACATGTTGCTGTTTCCACACCAAAAGACCGGGAAACGCTCCGGAAAAAGAAGAAGAATATACATTTTGCAACCATTTTAAACATGTTGCTGTTTCCACATCAAAATACCGGGAAACGCTCTGGAAAACAAAGATCTCCATTTTGCAACCATTTGAAACATGTTGTTTCCACACCAAAATAACAGGAAACGCTCCGGGAAAAAATATCTCCATTTTGCAACCATTTGAAACATGGTGCTGTTTCCACAACAAAAGAACGGGAAACGCTCCGGAAAAAAAGAAGATACATTTTGCAACCATTTGACACATGTTGCTGCTTCCACACCAACAGAACGGGAAACGCTCCAGAAAAAGAAGAAGGTACATTTTGCAACCATTTGACACATGTTGCTGTTTCCACACCAAAATAACGGGAGACGCTCCGGAAAAAGAATAAGATACATTTTGCAACCATTTGACACATGTTGCTGTTTCCACACCAAAAGAACGGGAAACGCTCCGGAAAAAGAAAGAAGAGATACATTTTGCAACCATTTGACACATGTTGCTGTTTCCGCACCAAAACAACGGGAAACGCTCCGGAAAAAAAAGAAGATACATGTTGCAACCATTTGACACATGTTGCTGTTTCCACACCAAAAGAACGGGAAAGGCTCCGGAAAAAAAAAAAAAAGATACATTTTGCAACCATTTGACACATGTTGCTGCTTCCACACCAAAATAGCGGGACACGCTCCGCAAAAAAAAAAAACATAAAATACATGTTGCAACCATTTGACACATGTTGCTGTTTCCACACCAAAAGAACGGGAAACGCTCTGGAAAAAGAAGAAGAAGATACATTTTGCAACCATTTGACACATTTTGCATTTTCACCAAAATAGCGAGGTTTCCCACCATTGACCAGTTGCAATATTCAGGTGTTTTTCATGCATCCGGATCCCTGTTGGATGTTTTTTTGTTGCTTCGTGGTTCTGGACTTCAATCCGTTGTAAAAAACAACACACTTCTTTTCTTTTTTTTGGTGGGGGGGGCGGGGTTGATAGGGGCGTGTGTTGTTTTTCGGAGTTTATTTTGCCTTCCCCCTTTTCTAGTTTTGAAGGAACATCAAAAGGAAAACCACCACCGGGGTCCCCTAACAACAACACACCCAGCAAAAAACAAGTATTCCTCGGGAGGTTCATTGTCTAAATTGGTTCCTTGTCATCTTTTGTAATCCGAATTGAACCCCAGGGCGGGTTGTCGAACAAATTGCCGCTTTCTTTTTGGACCTTGCCGCCTTCTTTTAGGCCGCCTTGTAAAGGGGATACCAAAAGGTTCTCTAATTTTGAGAAGCCCTCATTGGCGGGGTTTTTGTTTGGCAGTGTTTGCCTGGATGTCCTGTGGAAACAACTTTCTACAATAAACAGCCCCAACACAGATATAGGATGCTGAACTAGGTTGCACTTTCCATAGCAGCAGCCCCAAGAATCAAAGGAGGTTCGACATTACCCAGTGATTCCATTTTTCAGTAGGTAACCAAGGGAGCCATATTCGCAAATAAAAATGTAAAACCCTATACTGGTACTAGTAGCTGGGAGTCACTGCCCCAAGGTTGACATCACTTCCCATGGTTCTGGACTTGATATGTTTGGGTAAGACCGCTAAACGTGGGAAGCAGACAGTCTGGAGTCTGCAGTCATATAATTCTTGTTCTGGCGCAGTCATATTTGGGACATGTCAGGGACACTGTTATTTTGGCAGCCTTGAGGGAACGGCTTGGAGCCTAAGAGCCTTGTGAGGGCTCCCTTGTGTTTGGACCTGTTCCTTACAGCTTTGGGGAACTGTCCCTCTTCCGCCCCGGAAGCCCAGAGCTCCAGTTGCCAGCCGGAGCCTACGGCCAGTGGGCTCACGGTGCATGAAGGGAGGGCTGTGCTAAACACTTTGTTTTTGATCCATCGATCCTAGGAATCCGCATGGTGAACAATTCTAGCAATAACATCGGATGCTGGCCCTTTCTGATAACTGGGTATGGACTTGCAGTTGAGGATCCTTTGGACAAGTTCTCTTTCCGGTTGGGTGCAATGAGTACTGCATGTCCTCGAGCGACCTTAGTGTCCATGTTTCCTCTGCGCCATGAAGAGATGGTCCTGTTGCTGTCGCTTGAAGTATGTCATTCCATGGGCTTGGCCTTTGAATGGCTTCTGACCGATAGAGTTACCGGTGGTCTATTCTTGGGAACCGGGCATGGGCTGGCCCACCCCGTGTCTTAAAATTGGGTGATTAGATAGCGGTTGGCACGAAGCCAAGTTGAGCCCTGCGTCAGAAAACTGGGGCATTTGCACCTTAGCATGAAAAGAATGCGGCACGGGCCCAATTTGGATCATGAAATTCCTGAGCTGGCGGTGACATAGACACCCCTTCGATTAAATGGGTGCGGCTCAAAAATAAAGAGACCCAGGCTTACGCAGGTTTTAGTATACTTTTCCATTTACCAGGGCAACCCATTTTGGGGTTGCCAGATTTTTGAGCCACAGCCAAATGGTGGTCACTGAACTCCAGAAAGCACGAACCTCACTTCCGGAGTTCAAGCGCTGACTTGAGCCACTTGGGTTTGGAGCATGGTAAACAACCAGCTTGGCTACGAATGGTTGCGGAATCCTCTTAGGCACCATCTAAGAAACCCTGGCTTGGCGATTCCCCCGTAAATAACAACAAACAACGGTGGATGGACGAAATCCATTTCGCACCATCTGAGAAACCCTAGAATGATATGATCCTCGGAAAATACCAAGAAACCTTATGGTTTCAAGCATGGTGTCTTGGGTGGTGCGACAAGTTTGGGTACGACTTTTGGTTGTCATGCACTCGGCTTCCATTTGCTTAAGACTATTTTATATTTTCCTTGTTGGTTTCAAAGGAAATCGATTTCACTACTCGAAGCATTATATATATATAAGTGTTTGTTTCCCGGGGGCTTCTCAGCAAATGGAAGTCGGGCATTGAGAACCCGTCGCGAAAAAAGTCTCGGCGCTTGACTTTTCTTGGTATCAGTCATTTTAGTGTTTAGTAGTAGTTTCCGTTTGACCCACTAAAAGTTATTCACTTTTAGCTGGGGATCTGAGGGCAGCCCAGTTTTGGTAGGCTGGAGAAGGAGCTGCGCAAGGTGACAGAGAAAGCCGGCGCAGACTCCGCCCCTCCACTGAACGCGGCGCGGGGGAGGGGCGGGGGTGGCTTCTCGTGAGTTTTCCCTGAACCTAACTGGGGGATCTCTTAGGGAAGGGAGGGTTCAACCATCGAACCACAACAAGGAAACTAAAGCAGCTCATTTTAAGAATCTTTGTGAGACACCCGCACGATGTGAATATATTAGGTGGAAATGAGGGTGAGGGCCCACGTTTTGGAGTTGCTTGAAGGGGAAATCAAAGGCCTTTGTCTTTGGTGTGGAGGGAAGAATATTTTGACACACACCCGGTTTGGTATGAAAGTCAAGACAATTTTGGCGGGCATCATGTTTTTTAACTGGGATTCAGGCAACCACCAACCATATAGTTCTTTACTGCCAGCAGTCTTGCCGAAGCAAGATGTCACTGAGGAATGTATATCCTGGAGACACTGCACGTGTGGCAAAAAACGGCTCCATCGGGTTCTGAGAAAGGTGGAGTGGCTGTAAACAGGCACGAACAGGATCCAACAGGTGGCAGCAACCGCTTTTCCCTAGACCCGGTTGGCACAATAGTGCACAAGGAGATCCGGTTGGCAGGTGGCTTTGAGGGAGGTGTCCGCAAAACCACCCCAAGGGGTTGAAGAATGAGAGGACAGCAGTGGTTTGGTCCTAGTTTTGAGGGTGCCTTTTGGGTTGGCTCCGACGCCAAAGGGAACAGCTGCTTTTCAGGAGTTTCACATGCGAGAAGCGTCGAACTGGGTCAGATGGAAGCTGGATGGTTGAACTCGAAATCCAGAGATCGCACTACCGTAGGTGTTGCACCAGCTAAGAAACCCTGGTGTCTTTCTAGGGGACACTTCCCCATTCTTTCCACGGATCCTTCTTTCCAGAAAACCATCAAAACCCCAGGGAAACAGCTGGTTTTTGAAAAGAACGATGGTTGAAAAGAATGGGGAATTGACCCCTAGAGTCTTGATTCGATTCCCCAACGTACATACCAGCAAACGCCATGGTTTCGACCATGGTGTCAAAGTGGCGCGGACGGATTCCGTCCACCCACAGTAGGATCGCCTGCGGGACAAGCGACAGATGGACTTCCAGGTGCTTTGGCTTCCCTTCACGGGCCAAATGTGTGTGTGTGTGTGATGTTGTGTGGTGTGATGTTGTGTGTGTGTTTTCGAGGCTCGGTGCTTGTTTTTTGGTGTTGGCCTAGAGGGAGACCAAATTGAAACCGAAGCCCATTTTAGGGCGCCTTTCAAAAGCGAGACATAGGTCCCCCAGTAGTGCCCTTTTTAACCCCTTTTTGTTGGGAGGGTTCCCCTACCAACATAGACAACACAGAAAAAAAGTGGGTACCAACCTATTCTAACCTCTCTACTGGAGGACCTAGCGAAAAAATCCATTTTACCGAAAAATCCAGTTCACCGAAGCCAACAGCGAAACCGGAAAAGAAAAAGAGAAAACCAAAGAAAAAGAAAAAACACATGTTTTAGGGCTCCGAATCCAGGTTCCAACTTCCGGTTGATTCGGTCGAGCAACTCTCCGCGTCGAGCTCAGGTCATCCTCACTGCCCTGGAGAAGCTGAACCGGAAGGCGAGCCGCGCGAGCAACGGCGAGGTTTTTTGGTGCCGGGAGTTTGTTTTTTGGTTCAGCAAAAGAAGCAACGGCGAATCAGGGAATCAGGGAATGTGAAATGGAGGTTGGTTCGGGCCGCGGTTGTTTTTTTTTGAGTGCCGCCAGGAGTTTTTTGTTGGGTTCAGCGAAACATCGCCCCATGACATTGCCGGGTGCTAAAGGGAACATTTAAGAATGAAACTCCTACCCATCCCCTTTTCTTCCATTTGGAGAAATGAATCTATTTATTATTATTATTATTATTATTATTATTATTATTATTATTATTATGATTTTCCGCTGGTGGTTTTAAAGGGAATCGATTTCACTACTGGATTTTGTTTTTTCCAGGGGACTTCAGCAAATGGAGGGAAAGAAAGAACGGCGAGTCAGGGAGCAGCCCAAAAAGACATCATTTGTTTATAGGAATCTCCTTTTGAAGGAACTCATGTTTGAGCTCCATTTGCTGGAGTGTAAGCATTGTAGAATTAAAGGGGCTTCCTGCCAAGCCCAAATTGCAGGCAATTCCATTTAGCTGGACCCTGAAAGTTCCCTTTAAACAAACATAGGCATTGCCCTTGAGACGCAGGCCCAACAAAGGAAATCGGCGTCCCACCAGGGCAGAGGGGACAAGTCCTGGCCAAGATGGTTGTGGATACTTCTGCCCCATTCTTTAGGGTTTTGGCTAGACTCTAGACTCCTCAAATGTCGATTGTGCTTCAGGCCCACTTGGATCAAACATAGGGTGAGCCCCACGTACTGTGGATGGCCGAAATCCATTTCGCACCACCTACAAAGCCCTGGAATGATGATTTCCCAATTTAACTACCAGCAAAAGTTTTACGGTACTGATTTTCCCAGGGTTTCTCTTGGGTGCAAAAAGCGGATTTCGATTTCAACCATCCACAGGTATTTCCATTCGCTTAAGCATGGTTGTCGTTGGGACACATTTTACATTTTTGCTTATTGTGGCTTGGCGGGAAATCCAACCACTTAACTGCTAAAGTTAGAATTTTTGCTCCCCAAACCCAACGTCAACCAAGTAAGCCCCCAGCAAAAAACCGTACGCGAACATCTTTCCAGTTTCAAGTGGCCTCACCTGGGCTCCGGCAAGCGCTTGGAGGGGAACGGAGCGAAAGCTGCTAAGCTTCCAGGTCCTTCAGCTCCCTTTTTAACCAATTTCGGGGTTTGGGGTTCCCCTACTAAAATAGTTGTTTTTCTTACAAAAATGTGCAGGAATTAACATAATTCTATTTTACAACCTCTTGGATCCAGCTAATTTGTCTTTCTTAAAAAGCAAACGGGTGCCAACTGATTCTAATCTCTCAAATCTGGAGGAGCCTGGCTTCGAGCCAGGTCTCGGGGGTCTTCGATGCGAAGTCGGAGAAAGCGGAGGCGAAGGCGACCAATGGGACTGGCGCGCTCTGGCTCGCGCTCTCCGGTGTTTCTGGTTTGGGCTCTGGGGGCCTTTGGCTTTTTGCCGGGGGTTTTAATTGGAAATCAAAAGGAAAAAACCGGCAAAGAAGCTAGGTCCCCCAGTAGTGCCCTTCTTAACCCCTTTTTTGGGGTTTTGGGTTCCCCTACTGAAATAGACTACAGCAAAAAGTTGGTACCAACTTATTATAACCTCTCTACTGGACCTAGGAAAGGGTGTCCCATAGAAGATCAGTGAACTTGAAACTGTTACAGAGTGTTTTGATGGTAAACGGTTTAATCATTGTTTGGGCCAATCCACGCAGTGGGCTTTGGGCTTTCGTGCTGGTGCTCAGGGAATGCGGGAGTGATCCCTATAAACTGTCCCTTGTGGTTTTCTTTAAGGGGATGCGTGGGTTCATTCCGAACCCCCCCCCTGTTGATTCCCTGCTGAGAACCAGCAAGGTGTTCTATCATTTTCCCTTTCAACCACCAAAATGTTGACTTTTTGCAGGGGTCTAGTCTGAGTCAGAGGCTGGACAGAACGGTCTCAACCGTTTGCTCAGACCCAAGCGTACAACGAGCTTCAAGAGGAGATCGACAGTGGCTGACTGAGTGTCTCAAGCTGGTGTATCCAGACAAGGATGTCCTTCGCTAATTGTGATGTATCATCTAGGTCCCCCAGCTAGGTGCCCGTTTACCCTTTTTTGGGGGCAGGGTTCCCCTGCTCAAGTAGTAATAGACTACAGAAACAAGGGTACCGACCTAGTCATTTTCCCTGCCTGATTGGTTTAAATGGCTATGGTCATGACCTGGTCATATCTGTCTATCGGCACCATCATTCTTCTGAGCAGTTTGTCTCCAAATCAAAGGCCACTTGCTTTTTCAGACCCTGCTTGCGCTTTGATTCTTGCTGCAAGAGATCCCAACCTGCTTGATGGCTTCAAAAGTCGCTCGGTTTTGTCAATCTCTTGACAAAGGTCCAGAAGGGAATGTGTGGACGTGTGCTTAGGACTCATGCAGGACCAACATGAGAGCATTTGGAAGGGTCCCGTATTGCCTGCACCACTACACACACATGTACAAGTTGCCTTCATAAACATGTTTCTTTGTGGTGTCTGGTGTCATATCTTGTTTGATTGTGTTGTTTGCGCTATTGCGTTATTACGTTGTTCCTGAATATGTTGTTTGTTAGCTATTTGTTTGTTTGTTTGGTTGGTTGTTTTGTTTGTTTGTTTGTTTGTTCGTTTGTTTATTTTGTTCTTCGTCACGTAGATCGTTGGTTAGTTAGTTAGTCAGTTAAGTATTTAGTTGGTTGGTCAGTTGGTTAGATACTAACTTGGTTATTGTTTGTTTGCCTGGTTGTTTCCCTGTGTGTCTGTTTGTTAGTCTGTTTGTTTGTTTGTTTGTTTGCTTGTTTCTCTGTGTATTTGATAGTCTGTGCGTCTGTCTGTCTCTGTGTCTGTCTGGCTGGCTGGCTGTCCTTCTGTCTGTCTGACTTTCTGTCTGTTTGTCAGCCTGTTTGTCTTTCTGTCTGCCTGTCCGTTGCTTTGTCTGTTTATTCGCTCGAGTGGTTGTGTTGGTTTGTGTGTTTGTGTTTGTGTTTGTGTGTTAGTGTGTGTGTGGGTGTTTGCGTGTTTGTGTTTGTGTGTGGGTGTTTGTGTGTGGGTGTTTGTGTGTGGTGTGGTGTGGTGTGGTGTGGTGTGGTGTGGTGTGGTGTGGTGTGGTGTGGTGTGGTGTGGTGTGGTGGGGTGGGGTGGGGTGGGGTGGGGTGGGGTGGGGTGGGGTGGGGTCGGGTGGGGTCGGGTCGGGTCGGGTCGGGTCGGGTGGGGTGGGGTGGGGTGGGGTGGGGTGGGGTGGGGTGGGGTGGGGTGGGGTGGGGTGGGGTGGGGTGGGGTGGGGTGGGGTGGGGTGGGGTGGGGTGGGGTGGGGTGGGGTGGGGTGGGGTGGGGTGGGGTGGGGTGGGGTGGGGTGGGGTGGGGTGGGGTGGGGTGGGGTGGGGTGGGGTGGGGTGGGGTGGGGTGGGGTGGGGTGGGGTGGGGTGGGGTGGGGTGGGGTGGGTGAGTGGGTGGGTAGGTGGCTTGCTTGCTTGCTTGCTTGGTTTGTTTGTTTGTTTGCTTGTTATGTTCTATGGTCGTGTGCTGCGGTTCTTCATGTAGCGCGTTGGGCAGACATGGTCGCCCACGCAGTTGGTGTGCTCTTGTTGGCACGCTTTGGGCAAGACATGGTTTCATCCAAAGCAGGCCGCTCGTGTGCACACCCCTCCAAAAGTCATAGCTCCCCACTAAAACCAGGGACTAGCACTGTTTCCCTCTGGGCTTGTACAACGAAATGCGCGGCGGTTACTTCTGAGTAGTTGCCCTTTCCGTGTTCACCCACTTTGCCTTCACGCTCATGTATATGTGTTCTTTCTCATTGTCAAAGGAAGTTTAGAAGGAAACTTCCGAGTTACGGAAACTAATTGACAGCTAGATGGTGCAGGGAAGGAAGAAGAAAGAATGAAAGGCGCGCGAGAGAAAACATGCGTGTGCGTGTGGCGGGGGAATAGAATTTGCGAAAAGGAGCAGCCCTCTGCGGGCTTGGTGGTGTGGAGCTGGCTGAAAGCTACCTCAGTCGCGGCGTCTGACGGACGACGGGTGCGGGACGGGCTCGGACGGTCTCGGGACGGGGGCGGCGCCGGGACCATTGGCACGGCAACGCAGAGGTTTCGCAAGGTTTGAATTGCGTGGCAGACGCAGCATTTTGGTAAGGTCGGGTGCAGATTTCATGGCAGGCGCAGCACTTTCGCAAGGTCAAGTACATATTTCGTGGCAGGCGCAGCACTTTCACAAGGTCATGTACATATTTCGTGCCAGGTGCAGCACTTTCGCAAGGTCAAGTGCAAAATTCGTGGCAGGCGCATCACTTTCACAAGGTCAAGTACAGAATTCGTGGCAGGTGCAGAACTTTCGCAAGGTCAAGTGCAAAATTCGTGGCAGGCGCATCACTTTCGCAAGGTCAAGCACAGAGCTGCAGGCGCAGCACTTCCGCGAGGTCAAGTACAGATTTCGTGGCAGGCGCAGCACTTTTGCAAGGTCAACTTTCGCAGCCGGGGCTCGAAAATCGCAACTTTTAAGTGCGAAAGTAGTACGCGAAGTCAACTTTCGCAGCTGGGGCTTGCAAATCGCAACTTTTAAGTACGAAAGTAGTGCGCGAAGTCCACTTTCGCAGCCGGGCTTGAAAATCGCAACTTTTAAGTACGAAAGTAGTACGGGAAGTCCACTTTCGCAGCTGGGGCTTGAAAATCGCAACTTTTAAATACGAAAGTAGTACGTGAAGTCCACTTTCGCAGCTGGGGCTCGAAAATCGCAACTTTTAAGTACGAAAGTAGTACGCGAAGTCAAGATAGAGAAAGAGATAGATAGATAGATAGATAGATAGATAGATAGATAGATAGAGAGAGAGAGAGAGCAAGATAGATAGATAAATAGACAGAGAGAGAGAGAGAGATAGAAGATATATAAGTAGAAAGAAAAAGAGATACATAGGTACATAGATAGATAGATAGATAGAGAGATAGAGAGATAAATAATTAGATAGATAAAAGATACACAGACAGATAGATAGATAGACAGATAGATAGATAGATAGAGAGATAGATAAATTGATAGAAGCAGAGATAGAGAGAGATACATAGATAGGTAGATAGAGAGGTAGATAGTTAGATAGATAGAGAGGTAGATAGTTAGATAGATAGATAGGTAGAGAGAATGAGATAGAGAGGTAGATAGAGAGATGGATAGATAGGTAGATCTATAGATAATTAGAAATATAGATAGATAGATAGATAGATAGAGAGATACAGAGATGGATAAACTCATGTGAGAAGATAGAGAGATAGATGGACAAAGAGATAGACAGATAGATAGATAGAGAGATAGACAGATAGAGAAAGAGATAGATAGATAGGTGGACAGAGGGATACATCAAGAGATATAGAGATAGATAGATAAAGCGATAGACAGATAGATAGATAGAGAGAGAGAGATAGATAGAGAGAGAGAGAGATAGATAGATAGGTAGACAGAGGGATACATAGAGAGATGTAGAGATAGATAGATAAAGTGATAGACAGATAGAGAGACAGATAGATAGATAGATAGATAGATACATAGATAGATAGATAGATACGCGGTGATAGATGGAGAGATAGATGGATAGAAAGAGATAGAGAAAGAGATAGAGAGATAAATAGACAGAAAGAAAGAGAGATAGAGAGATAGAAAGATAGAAAGAAAGAGAGATAGAGAGATAGATAGATAGACAGATAGAGAAAGAGAGAGACAGAGATAGAGGGATATAGAGAGATGGATAGATAGAGAGATAGAGAGATAGGTAGATATATAGATAGATAGAGAGAAAGATAGAGAAGATAGATAGAGAGATTGATAGATAGAGAAGCCATAGATAGATAACACGAGAGATAGATAGATAGATAGGTAGTTCGGTATAGATAGGTAGAGAAAGCTAGATAGACAAGCAAACGAAAGAAAGAAAGAAAAGACAGATAGAAAGAAGGAAAGAAGGGAGGAAGGCAGGAAAGAAAGGAAGAAAGGAAGAATGACGGAGAAAAAGAGTCAAGAAAAGAAAGAGAAAGAGAACTATAGTTTTTATATTTTTGAAACTTCCGCCCACCGGCTTCTCCGGCTCTACTGGTAATTTTACATTTACAGCTACTCTCATTGCCTTTGCCGAATGTATTTCTCAAGATTTAGTCAGATGCTAAGAAGCATCATATCCTTTCCAGATGTTTGCCATTCGTGGAATTACATGTCATCTATTGGATCAGGAACACGTTTCCTATCTTGTTTGGTCTCTTTGTTTTGTCTACATGTCTTTGTATTTGTCACGTTTGATCTCTCTCCTTGTCAAGTTGCGTCTAAATCATTTGGAGTCTCTTGGAGGGCGGACATGAACGGTTCACCATGGGATGTCCTACCGATTCTTCGGTTTTCCTAGCGTTGCTTTTCTCGTTGGGCTTGCACACAGCGGCTTTCTTCAGAGTTTCCAATGAACTTTTGCCAAAGGGGTATTCAACAGTTCGATGATATGTCAGCTTCCCTCCAATTGGTGGTTTGGTCCAGGTGGAGTTTCCCATTTCCCCTCTGCAAAAGCCATGGGTTCAAATCCCCAAACCATCAAGTGAAATGTTACTTGTACAATTAGCGCCTGAAACAAGAAGCAAACCACCAATCCAAACCAACAACCAAGGGTTACAATTATTCTCCCCGGACACTGGCGGCCAAAAACCAACCAGCGGCACCGATCATCCGTGATGCTTCCTTCTTGCTTGGGCCTTCGCATCTCCGTTGGCCTTCCAATCGCTTTACAGGCGGCCGTGCTCTAAGAGACTCCCATCAGGGCCAACTTACATACCCCAAATGGACATACCCCACCCATAGGCCTTGAGGGATATGTTTTGGGGTATATATGTATCCTGTATAACCCATGAATACAGCCACTTACTTTGGGGTATGTCCATTTGGGGTATGTAAGTGGGCCCTTGGAAGAGAGGGCTTTGCAACATTCGGTATGTGTGGCCAATTTGGTTTGACCGGAAAAGTGTATGTGTCAAAATAGGGTGCTTGACCCGAGTTCACGGAAGGGCCTTCCATTCTTGTTTCATTTGAACGAAGGTGGGTTCGGGGGTACCCTCTCAAAAAGTATGAGAACAGCAGGAACTCACGGGGTACGGATACGCGTTGGTTGTTTGGGTAAAAAGGGTTTTCCGTGGACCTCAAAGAATCATGAGAAGATAGCACCAGGTCAGCGCTATTCCAATGTTTGCTTTTTCTATGTCAAGTTTGTGTCTTTCTTCTTTCTAATCCTTCATATTTCTTTGCTAACCGGGCTCACTCATCCCAGCAATTCCATTTCCCTCTTTTTGAGTCGCGCAGGGGTTCCCCGCCTGAAAACCAATGTTTGGTTGCCAAACTGGGAAACCAAGAAGCCAGGGCGAAACCTGAAATTGCGGTTCATATCATTTGAAATCGTTCCCCTCCTTTTGTTTTAGAGAATAAATAGTAAGCTGTAAAAGGGTCAGATGCTATTATGGTAATCCTCTTGTGGTAAAATATATCACCGCTACAAGGATACCTGGAGTCTCCACGACTCTTTAAACATGGGGTCATTACCCAAAATAAAGGGGTCACGGACCCATTGTTAAAGGGTCATGGAGACTCCAGGTACTCCCCTATGGCGCTTGCAGAGATCTGGTTGCATGTCCCGAGGCATCGAGGAGGCCCGCGCGAATCTGCAAGGGAACCTCGCCAGGCGCCGCTTCGATTGGATGCGAATCCGGATTTGTCGATTCGTCGACTACTTGCTTCCATTTGCTTAACTTGGTGGTTCCCAGCCATCCCCTTAGCTTTTTAGACTTTTAGTGTTTAGTGATAGTGTCCATTTAACCCACCAAAAGTTATTCACTTTTACCGGGGTTTTAAAGGGAATCTGTCCCTACTGGCAGTATGTTTATTCTTTCCGGGGGACTCACGCAAATGGATGCGTCCGCCTGGATTCTAACCCCCAAGCAGGATAGCCCGCAGGGGCCAAATACGTAGCAAAATTTGTGGCGAGCTCACCGATGCGGGGGTAAAACGAGCGAAAGCCATCCTAAAGACCCTTTATGTGGGGATCTTGTATTTCAGGTTTGGACATATAATAGTCAAATTTGCAGATCCATGGAGATGCCGAATACGCGCAACCCATCAACCCTCAGGCAACCTTTGGTTGTGCTACGAGTGAGTCTGCTGTTTGGTGATGTAATTTCCCCGGGTCCAGTTCGCATTTTCAAGCTGGCAGGGTTGAGATGATGGCAACTGGATGCGCTCTCGCAACGTCGTCAAGCCTCATCCAAAGCCTGATGGCGAGTGGCAAATGCAGCTTTTCACGTTGACTTGGCATTCCCAACTTGGACAGTGGGACTCGCCAATGGTGCATGGTAGTCTTCCGGGACAGGATAACTGTAAGAGTAACACCTCTACTGTTCCGGGCATGGTCGGTGTTGCAGGAATATAGTGACAAGTTTTGTCTTGCCATCTCTGATGTGTGTTTGGTCTCGCATGTTTGAATAATGAGGCTGCGCTGCATCCCTTGCCTTTGTTTTACGTGCTACTGAATGAATGAGCGTGAGACCTGCCTGCCCTGTTAAACTGAGTCCTCGTTTTTTGCGGGAAAGCCAAGTGTAGCTTATGCTCAAACAAAGCACTTTTTGTGGTTGATCGTCTTCAGACGGGGAAACTCGCAAAACAAAAAGGGGTTTGAAGTGAAGAGAGCCCGCTGAACGTGGCAGCTCACAGAAGGTCCGACGTGCGAATTGTTCAATGAGGTGGGGGACTTGTTTGGCTGATTTTTTTGGGGGGGAACCACAGGGACAAGACGCATTTTGAGGTTCTCCTATGTTAATGTATGCCAATAATGTGTTATTTCGCCATTAATCCAGGTTCAATGCGGTGCACCTTTTTGGTTGATTTCAAGGGTGAATCACAATACCACTACCCATTTTGGGGTTCGCCTATTTTGATACATATCCAGAATGTGTTTCTTTGCCATTAAGCCAGTTGGACTCAAAAAGGATCTTTTGTAGATGAGCTTTTGTCCTACATGTTGGTGGGTCAGACTATCACATCCCAAAATCCCAACAACATGTCACAGTCGGCAAGAAGTACCCCTTTCCTCTTGCACATCAACAAAGAGAGGTCACATCCTTTTCGGTCCCATGACCGTTGGGCAAGCAAGATTGTGAGAGGTGACAGTTTGCTAAATGCCACTGTTTTTTTCCTTTGGACTGTGCTTGGGCCAAGTAATGCAATGCATGGTTCAAAGCCGCGCTCAAGTCAAAACAACGGCCAGCTAGCCCAAGCACAATCCCGAAATCCCGCAGGCTTGAACCTGTCCAAGGCAGAAGCTAGGTCACCAGAACAACATTTCAAGCACCAATTCGTAGCCAGCAAGAATTCGGGCACGGCAAGAGAGATTACAGTGCGACAGCTGTCTGGGGAGGAAGCCTCATTCAAAGTGACCCACGCAATACTATCCGCAAGTTCAAGAGGGCAGCTGCACGAGTCACAGCACAACATGAGCTTGGTGAGAGTGGTTGTTGGAGACAGTCCCCAATTGTTGAACAACAAGGAGACGGTGTCCAAGGCGGTTGCAGTTGCAGAAGCTTTGGCTTTCCTCAGCCTAAAGCCGGTGTCGTGCTGAAGCTTCGAAAACTCCAGGCTTGAGCCTGGCTCACTTGCAGAAAGCCTGATGCTCAATCTCATTCACGCCTCCTGGAATTTCTACCACGCGCACATGTGACCTGCTTCTGTGACTGAGATTAGAGCTCGTGCCTTCAAAGGTTGCCGCTCGTTGACAGATGCCACCATCCCTGACTCAGTTATTCGCATTGAAGAGAATGCCTTCGCTTATTGCATCGTATTGGCGGACATGACCATCCCCAACTCAGTCACTCGGATTAGATGAGATGCCTTCAGCGGCAAACATGACGATCCCTGACTCGTTGACGTAGAGGCTGCAGCTCATTGGCAACTTGATCATCCGATCACGATTGCCAATGAGCTGCAGCTTAACTAAGAAGGCAAACCCTTCAATCCGTCATCGAGTCAGGGATGGTCATGTTTGCCTCCCCGACTCTGTGACTGAAATTGGAGCAGGTGCCTTCAAAAGCTGCAGCTCATCGGCAAACACGGCCATCCCTGACTTGGTGACTCCGATTGGAGAAGGGGCCTTCCACAGTTGCAGGTCGTTGGCAGTCAGGAGATGAGAGGAGGGGAAACCTTATCTGAGCCCCTACTTTTCAGAATTGAGGCTATGCCTCGCACAAGTATCCCGCACAACCGCCACAGAAGTTTCACGAAAGCAAGTACACGCAGAAGCTGCTTCGCAAACCCAGCAAAGCAGAACTACTTCGCAGAAGCTTTCTTAGCAGCGCAAAACCTTACAGAACATGTTGGCACGCAGCAAGCTGGCCCCGTCCTTTTCTCGGCTGAAGCACAGACATTACTGTCGTCGCCTGAAACCTGCCACAGTTTCACCAGAGTGGCGCTGATGTGAGCCAGTGGTCCTTTGCACGGAGCCAGCATCTTTTGGTTGGGGACCAGCGGACATGGGACCATCCAAGCCGAAGCACGCCTTTGCTTTGGAGTAAAGAAGGCGTGGAACTTTCAGGCCTCCGGTGCTCCGGCCCGGTGCACATGATCGAGTCCATCTGCACCTTGTGGTCTCCGGATCTGGGCTGTTCCACTTCAGCCACTTGTTGGACAGGTTGCTTCCAGGCCTGGAACCAGGGACTACGACTTCCTGCCACATCGGGACACCTACGAGCTTCTTTGGAGAAGTCTACACCCACGGCGATAAACTCAAACTTCGGGTCCTAAGGAATCAAAAGAGAGAGCATGTGGGGCGGAGGCCGACAAGTTACTCCAGTAAGCTTTTGAGTATCCTACCTGTACATTCAGCTACGTGGCTTGGCCCAAGTGTGGATTTCCCTACCATTTCTTTGGTTGACATCTCAATCCGGGCGTCTGTTTAGGGAGTGGGTGCCTTTTGGTGGCTAAGAAAACCTGGCTCAGAACTCCGTCTCACATCCATTTCCGGAGCTCTCCAAAGCCCAAAAGGAACCTGCCCACGCCCAGGTGTTCTTCGAAACTTCACCCGCAACCCCTGTCATCCCTTCCGTTGAGCTGGGCTCGTCCTTGCCCACATCCTGTCAGCCCCAAGCCCACGACCGCTCCGAAGCCTGGGATCTCCAAAACAAAACCGCGGGCCGCAACTTCGCGCGACTTCCCGCGACGCGACTCCCGCGACATGTCCCGCGACTTTCCGCGGATTTCCACCGCTTTCCCGCCGCGGAAAGTCATTCCGCGCGATGTGTTCTTCGATTCGCGATCAGGTGGGAGGTGCGGGAGACCAACCTGCTGCAAGAGATCCAGGTGCTCAAGTCTCAGCTCCGCGAAGGCCCCCCGCTCTGTCGCTCGAGACTCGAGACTCACTCGACGTCGCCGGAAGCGGAGGTGTCCGTCGCCCAATTTGGGCGGTCTGGGAAACCTCGGGCCTGGACACATATTTTTTCGGGTTTCTTGAGACCTCAAAGCAGGGCGGCCCGAAGAATGGGCGGCTGTTTTTTTTGCCTTTGGTTTCCCTTGAAGCCCCCCAAAAGCTGTTCTTGGGCATGGATCGGCAACCAGCGCTTGACCACCAGCGATTCGGCTCGTCACGAAGTAGGGCACAGCTGGGGGGTTCGAGGTAGACCCCTCTAACTTGCTGGTGCGAGAAGTACCCCCTACTCCAAATACTACCCACTTTTTTGGGGGTATTTTTTTTGAAAAGCTTTTGTTTTTAAAAAAAAGCACATGCCTCCTTTTTTAGTAGAGGGTCGGCATCAAACCCTACAAAAAGTGGTTACATCCTATTGGATGTAAAGGGTAGGGAATGAGAAATGGAATGACCCCGAAATAAACCATCCGACTGGGGGTTTCCTCTAAGCGGACCAACGCCTGCATAAGAAACCAAATAGCCTAGAATGTCAATTTCAATTATGGCAAAAAGGACGCAGTTCTTTTTTCCAGACCCAATGTCTATATGTCTCGGGTTTTGACATCCGTGCTCAAGACTGACTCCTGTTTTGCAATGTTGAGCAATTCGTGTGTCCGTTATAAATCAAGGCAGATAACAGGGAAGTCTTCAACATCATGGTTCTAAATGGCCGTTGTTCAATGTTTTTGCGTGTACTTGCATTGTAAGTGCAGACAAGTCAAAGGTGTTTGTTTGTGTGTATATGTGTGTTCAAAAGCATTCGTTTGCAGGGCATGTCTAATGTGTGTGTGTGTGTGTGTGGGTGCGTGCGTGCGTGCGTGCGTGCGTGCGTGCGTGCGTGCGTGCGTGCGTGCGTGCGTGGGTGGGTGGGTGGGTGGGTGGGTGGGTGGGTGGGTGGGTGGGTGGGTGGGTGGGTGTTTGTGTTTGTTTGTTTGTTTGTTTGTTTGTTTGTTTGTTTGTTTGTTTGTTTGTGTGTGTGTGTGTGTGTCTGTGTGTCTGTGTGTCTGTGTGTCTGTGTGTGTGTGTCTGTGTGTCTGTGTGTCTGTGTGTCTGTGTGTCTGTGTGTCTGTGTGTGCGTGTGTGTGTGTGTGTGTGTGTGTGTGTGTGTGTGTGTGTGTGTGTGTGTGTTTGCGTTTGTGATTGTGTTTGCGTTTGTCTACCGGTACTGGGATTGTATAACAAGACAAGCTGAGCAGAGTCTTCACAACTTCGGTTGCCAAGGGCTGCATGTTCAATATGTTTGGCGACTTCAAAGCCGTGCTTCCCACCGGGCATTCCTGAATTGTTTGTTTTGTTTGCAAGCCAAGAAGCCCAAAACGAGGCTTTTTCGCAACGTCCTTCTGAGAAGAATGGCGCCTATTGTTGGTGTGTTTGTCGGATGCTGGACCAGCACTTTCCAAGAACGCGGTGCCAACTGCTTTTCATGTTTTTGCTGTCTGTACCCTCAGGAAGCAGGTAGCTAATGAATCACAGTTTGGAGCTTTGAGCAAGAAGGAGCAGAAGCCAAGGGAAGAAGACGGTTTTCGCTGTGGGCGGCGGTGAAAAAGAGGTTCCTTTTCAGGGCCACTGGGCCTGCCCTTCGGGTAGACAAATGAGTTGCCAGAGCCCAGGGATGACCAAACTCCGAGGATGGAACTTTGGCGATGATTTCCAGGTTGAGGAAGCAGTCTTTGAGATCCGTGACAGGGATTTCGTGCCGGAACACCTAATAGATATCATGTATGTATATATATATATACACACGTACATAGTTGGTATTAACCAAAAAAAGCAGGGCATAAGGGTGCGAACTTGGGGCATCTACCCCTTGATGCTTCAATGGCGTTGTTTTTCTCTCATCCCAGCTACTAGGCCTTCGCCCAGCCAAAGCACTGCCTGCCAGGCCGCGCACCTCGCCTGGCCTTGCAGCAGGCGCATCCGACGTGATGCGCATTTGCTCAAGATTGTGTTTGTTTTTTGTTTTAATGTGCTTCTATGTTCAGAGGGTGTTTTTGTTTTAATTACGACCATGATGTGTTATTTCTTCCATGATGTGTTGCTTCGCGCTGTTTGTTTTAAAGGTGTTGGTTTTAAAGGGAATCCATCACTACCGGACTTTGTTTTTTGCCAAGGGACTTTTGCAAATGGAGGGTTTCGAATCCGATTCGGCGAATCGGACAGTTACTTGACCTCCGCAGCGCGATCGGCATAGCACTCAAACAAAGCATGTTGGTGCCTTCTTTTCAAATGTGGCCGCTATGGAGTTCCATGCGAATTGCAGGGCAGACCCCAACAAAACAAGTCGTACTTCCCTCCTTCCAAGAATGGCTGTTTTTTTCAAGAGGACAAACCCAAACTCGTCACCTTCCATTTACTTGAATTGCTGGTTCGGGGGGGGGGGGGGTCGGAAATCCATCTGGAGATTTTACACAACCCACCTGGGGATTTTACCAGGGGAAATCTTGCAGCCCCGGTTGCGCTTGATTTTTTGTGACCTTTGGGTTCCCAGCCATGCGGTTCCTTAGGCTTTTGCTCCGCGCCCGCTACGGCCAACCGTCATGCGGCTCTCCGCTCTTTCAGTGTACTGTATGTGTCACAGCAATGTGAAAAAAGAAGAAACACATGGCATCCGCAAAGCTGCGGAAGATGGATGGCGCATCTCACATCATTTCCACGACTTTCTCGGCCTCAAACAACACCCTGATCCAAAACGCCACATCTCCCGATCCCCACGATCTAGATCCTCAATGGCAAGGAGGTCCTACCGACCCCGGAAATGGCGAGCCGTTGCGTCTCTTGCGGGAGTTGCTGACGCAAGGGTAAGATGCATGTCACGACAATCACTTGAGCACAAGGAGCGGTTCCTTAGAGCTTGAGTGGTCTTTAGTTAATGAAATGTAGTTGGGTTTCCGGGATCATTCTGGACTGCCCAGTTATAACGGGAACGTCTGGTGCCCTTACGAACCAGCGTCAGTGGATATAAGTTTCTGCAAACTGACCACCCCGATACCTAGCAACACATTGTCCGTTTTTGCAAGTTGCGCCAGCTGACCAGGACAATGGCCCTTTGGTTTCCCCATACCTTCGCCATCTTTGCGGGTTGCAAACATGTTGCGGGAAGTCCCACGCATAACAAGCAAGATGAGGTCATACAGGCCATACACAACTCCAGCAACAGGCGATTCTTTATTGCAGAGGAGCATCAAACCCCCAAAATCCATTGGTCGTTCCCAGCCATCCAAGGCGAACCGACCGGACCTGACCTTTGAGTGTTTTCCCTTTGGTCCATGTCAAGTCGTGGCCCAAAGCATTAACCTTGTTTTCGGGTCCTTCGGCCTTCGGGCAACTGAGCTTCGGTTTTCTGGGCTGGTTCCACTAAACCCCAGAGGGTCCCTCCGTACCTTATATTTTTGCGGATTTGAGGAATCTGTAAATGATACATCCCCTACCAACCCCAAGACTTCAAATATGGCCATGGGTCAAAATCCAAATCGTACCCCCAGTGAACATCAACCAATCCAACCACTAAAATAGGAAACCTAAACTGGATGGTGAATTCATCTACCAACCACGGGATACCATTAAACGGTTTTGACCACAGCCATGTGAAAAGAAGGGGACTCCCAAAGCCAATTGGGATGAACTCAAGTACCTTGCGCCATGGTTACTCCTTTTTTGGGGTGAACATAGGGGGACTCCCTGGGTAGGACCGCCTGGGAACCAAAGTGAGAGCCTCGCATGTCCTCGAGGGGGGGGCGTGCTGTCTTGGGCTTTGAGGCATGTCCTTGGAAAAGAAGCGACAAAGCAACAAACACCATTCCCTGGTCCGAAATCAAATCAATATAACAAATCAACAAGACACACCAAAGTTATGTTCGGAACATAGAAGCGCCCTGAACAAATAAAGTTCCTTTGATGTCGCTTTCAAGCAATCTCCGGAAGGGTCCTCACAACAAACAACAAACGGATACAGGTGTGAGCGTTTATTTTTGAAGGGAAACAAAAGGCACAGTTGAAGAGTTGAACACCCACAAAAGGCTCCCGCTTGGCTTGTTTCACGGGCTTTCACATCTCCATTTCCCTTTCAGCTTCGAAGACCGGTCTGTGGAGTTTTTTTCAGGGTGCCCTTTGGGGGCCTGGCGAAGAACAAAGCAAGCAGGAAGCCCATTTTGGGAGCATCCCGCGTTCCAAGCAGATCGACCTGAACTGACCTTCTGGTTTTCTTGTTTTGGCAACCACTGTTAGTAGAAGTTCCAACAGGTTACATAACCTTTGATTTCCAGGTCCTTTGGGTGACTCAGCAAATCTCTTTAAATCACATTCCGTGTTTTGGATACCTTTTAGTTTCCCTACATGGGGATAAGTAACTTGTCTTCAAAAAGCCGAGGTGATATCCAAAGCCCCGAAACCCCTCAGAACCCTCCCTGAAAGCTCCCCAGAGCTCATTTGAACCAAGACCCCAGAGTTTTCAGCTGTTGGGCCACAGTTCCTGTGGATGGACAAAATCCAGCACCACATCCGCACCACTTTGAAACCATTCTTCCAGGGTTTCTTCGCGGGTGCGCAGTATGACCATTTTCGGAAACCCCTTTTTGGAGAAGCACCCAGATGCCTTTCCGCAATCCCCGCTAGGCGAAGACAGAACTGGACGCCGTGAGGCAAGACTTGCGCAACGCCAAGAAGGCCAGAGATGCAGAGGGTGGCATTGATTGATTCCTTTGGTTTACTTGGCGGTTCCCAGCCGTCCGGTTCCTAAGTTATGTTTCGTGTTTTTTTGGGTTTAGTGGGGGGTTTTCGTTACCCGTTAAGCTTTTAGCGGGGGATCTGAGGACAGCCCAGTTTAGTTTGTGGATTTATGTTGGTTGTGTTCCTTTAGTTTGCTGTTTGTTGTTGTTGCACTGTTGGTTGTCTTTGTCCTTTTCTGCAGAAGGCTTATTTCTGCCAATGCTTGGGGCATCTTGTCCTTCCAACCTTTTCCTCTTTTTGCGGGGTTCCCTTTTTAAATGATTCCAGTACCTCCCCCATTCTTTCCAGGGATCCTTCTTTCTAGAAAACCTAGAGAAACCGGGGAAAATGGCTCCGTTTTTTCGAAAAGAGCGATGGTGAAAAAGAACATTCGGAACCAACCCCTACAATAACTTACCTCTTAAAAACACAACTTTTCAACTTTTTGGGGGTAACATGGGCTATATGTCTGTAAAATATTAACTTCCCCAGGGCTTGGAGTTTTAAGGGGTAAGATAATAGTTTCCTTTTCTTTGGTTGGCGGGCGCGCGTTGGCTGTGACTTCGGGAGGGAGAAATCGCCACGCAACTGGCCCCAGGGGGCCGGGGGGTTGGGTCCACGAGGCCCTAGACGGGCTTCAGCCTGGTGCCGCGAGAAAGAACCAGGTTGTTGTTGTTTTCCCCAGGTCCCCCAGCGATAGGTGCCCATTTTTTACCGTGTCTTTTTTTTACCGGTTCCCCTACTAAAAATTGACTACAGAAACAAGTTGGTACCAACTTATTCTAATCTCTACTGGAGGACCTAGTTCCGTTCTCGCCAAGAATCAGCGAGACCTGTACTTACGCGGAGAGCGCGACGCAGTGGACTACGTTGTGGCGCTGAACCAGCGGAGGCTCTCTAGGAAGCCTCGCTGTGTCCGATTCCTGGCTATCACGAAGTGGCGGCTCGCGAGCGACTGTTGGCCTTGGCCTCTGCTTTGATCCTCAGCGTAGACTTCCAGTTGGTTAAGTTGTTTTTTTCTTTTTAATTTCCCCCTGTTGGTTTTAAAGGGAATCTGTCACTGCGGGACACATTTTCTATTCTTTCCAGGGGACTCTCAGCAAGTGGAGGTACTTTGGGGCGCGTAGACGAGGGTCGGTCCCAGTCACCGGAAGCAGCACTATGCACGGCCTGAGGCCTGGGAGATCTTGCTGAAAGCGTGTGCCCCTTAATCAACTAGGTTCCCCAGTAGTGCCCTTTTTAACCCCTTTTTTGGGGGAGGCTTCCCATACTAAAATAGATAACAGAAAAAAGGGGGGAGGCTTCCCATACTAAAATAGATAACAGAAAAAAGTTGGCACCAACTTATTCTAACCTCTCTACTGGAAGACCTAGTCAAGTACAGCAAAAAGGGACCCTGGTTTTCCATGGCATCATGGGTACTGGAGGTGTGGGGGTAGGAGGGAGAGATCAGCCCCAAACCTCACACGAAGCACCCTCAAGCCAACCCCAAACCCAACCAAATTCAACCCTTAACGCAGCTTAAAGCAACCCAAGACCCGCCTGAAACAAGCACCCCACAAGAGCCCCAACCAATCCAACATGCGACATGTGGCTCGTCAGATCAGCGCGGCCAAACCACATGGGTAGAAGCTTGGTGAGCAGTTTCCTCTTGGTTTCCTTTCGCCCTTGGGTTAGTGTTTGTTTGAGGTTATGCCTTTGTGAAAAGGGTAACCCAAGGACCACCACTGTAAGAGTCCCCCTATTTTCACAAAAAAGGAGTAACCATACTTAACCTCGCAAGGTACTTAAGTGGTTATTTTTTTAAAAAATAATATAAAACAAATCACATGGCTGTGGTTCAAAACCAATGGGATCCCATTTTGGGGTAGGTGAATTCACCCCCCATTTTAGAACCTATTTTAGTGGTTGGATTGAATCGGATGTTTTTTGGGGGCTAACCGCTTTGGGTTTTGACCCATGGGGCACGATTCAAAGTGGATGAGCCAACCCCGGAAAGGGAACCAGATCTACTGACCCAGAGGAGGTGACGCAGCAGCGCGGCGAGCTTCGGGAGACCCAGGAAGCTTGTTTCAAGATCGGGGACTGGTTGCAAGATAGGTGCAAAGGGAAGAAAGGGAACCACCTACCAATTTCAGCGTTTTGAGAAGCGCCTAAACCTATTTGATCCAATTTGAGGGTTTTGAGAAATGCCGATTTATTTGCTGACGACTAGGCTTTATGCCCCCCTGTTAGTTTAAAGGGAATCTATCTCACCACTCTATTTGTTTGAATTTTACCAGCACATGGAGGGAGCAATAAACCGGTCCTGCAGTTGTGGGTCCCGGGTCTCGGGTCGTGGACAATGTTGCTGAGGTTCTGAAGCCTCAAATCATGGTTGTTGTTGGGACACGTTTTCCCAATTGTTTGATCTTGTTGTGGTTTAGTGGTTGAACAAACCACCACTGAACTGGGTTGTTGGGTTGTTGTTGTTGTTGTTGTTGTTGTTGTTGTTGTTGTTGTTGTTGTTGTTGTTGTTGTTGTTGTTGTTGTTGTTGTTGTTGTTGTTGTTGTTGTTGTTGTTTGTTGTTGTTGTTGTTGTTGTTGTTGTTGTTGTTGTTGTTGTTGTTGTTGTTGTTGTTGTTGTTGTTGTTGTTGTTGTTGTTGTTGTTGTTGTTGTTGTTGTTTGTTGTTGTTGTTGTTGTTGTTGTTGTTGTTGTTGTTGTTGTTGTTGTTGTTGTTGTTGGTGGTGGTGTGGTGGGTGGTGGTGGTGGTGGTGGTGGTGGTGGTGGTGGTGGTGGTTGGTTGTTGGCGGTAAACATGTTTTTTTTTTTTTTTAATGTTTTTTTAAGACACACACATGTTTGCGTAAATTGTGGTTTAGTGGTTGAAATCCAACCACTGAACTGCTAAAAATTGAGAATTTTTGATCCCCAAACTCAACGTCAACCAAGGAATCCGGAGCCCTTTGGTTTGGACTGGAGCTGGTGATTCGAAGTTGGGAAACCCCCAAGCCATCAAGCCACCAACTAAGCTGAAATAAGAGGTAACCATCTCCAATGGCTCAAGTGTCATTTGGGTGTGTCTTTCCGTAGACCCACGCCAAAATGGCGGTTTTCCGGTTGGTTCCCTTCGAACCCAAGCCAAAGGGTACCTCCAAAAAGGGCACTAAACCAGGGAAAGCGAGCCCACAAATGCTTGGTCTGCCAAAAAGGTGTCCCGCCCCAGAAAGGGTACCCTCAGTCAAAAAGCACGCATAAAAACCCAACTTGTGGGTCTCCGCCAAAACAGTTTTTCTCCTATTTTTGGGTAGACTAAATGTAAGCCGGCGGAGCCGTGGGGTATTTAGAAAGAACAAAAGTAGTATGGAGTATGTGTCTCTTCTTCTCTCTATTTATCTTGCTCTTTCTCGTTCTCTTTCATATTGTTGGCCGACAACATCCTGCACCAGTTGGTAGATGGTTTGTCCCAGTATTCAAACTGGCGCAAACCCGGTCCATCCACAGTATGGAAGCAATTGGGGGAAATCACAAAATGGATGGTGTTCCTAAAACCAACCTTCATGGGGGCTGGGGGGGAGGGAGGAGAGGGGGAGGGAGGAGAGGGGGAGGGAGGAGAGGGGAGGGAGGAGAGGGGAGGGAGGAGAGGGGGAGGGAGGAGAGGGATATTTAGGGCTTATTTGGGCCCCCTCCCCTCCCTCCCCCCACCCCCATAAAGCCCAAAATACTACCCCTCTCCTGTACCCAAGAAGAATACCCACGTGGCCCTACTGAGAACCGCCTGGAGAAAGCTCAGAAGTCCATGGACAAGGAAGTCTCGGCCTGGCGCATAGCATGTCGATGAGAGTGTTGCCTTTTGTGTGTCAACTCTGTGCCCGGTGGGTTCCGCCCTTTGTCCTTTTTTGTTGGGGGAAGGGTGTCCCTTCAAAGTCAACCAACAAAAGCAGGGTGCCCTTTTTTTCCCGATGGAAATCCACTGGGCATCTGCGTGAAGGTCAACTTGCATGTTGTTCGCGATGGTGGCCCATTAAGCCCGCCAAACAGAGGTACCCTCAAACACACCCGGATGACCCGACAACAACCATCCAACTGGTAGCTTCCTCAAAGGGAATCCCTTTCCGGTTCTTTCCCAAAACCCTTCTAGATGTCCTACTCAGAACCAGCAAGACAATAGGTAAATGTTCCAATGATTTGATGATGTTGGGATTGTTTACAGGGAGAAAGGTCCATTCGTCTTGGCTGTTATGTGTGCCAGCCCAGAAAATCACCTCAATTTCCTAGAAAAAGAGGACCCATCCCCACCGGATCTTTCTGCCAGGCCATTTGGATGTGTCGTTCAGCATTCGCTGAAATCGACGTTATCATCACGCATCGGTAGCTATGTCCTTTTCGCATTCTTTCGACAAGTCTCAAGGACATCATTACTCGGCCTCTACGAGACTGCCGTTGCAGAGAGTTGCTCACTGCCTGGCACAAACGGGACACAGACTTGCTGGTTCTGGTAGGCCGTCTGTGCAGAGAAGGGGCAAAGGTCGAGGGCAAGACGCAGCCCACAGAAACCGTGGAAGATGAGCGCCAATCATCGTGGCCTTGGCACCACCCATTTTAGTCTATTTTAGTGAGGATTGGGATGGTCACTGGGGGTACGGGCCTTTGACCCATGGCCAAATGAGAAAAACGACCGACCAGTTCTTGGGGGGGGGGGGATTGTTTAACTCACTCCCCAAGTTCTGGACTGATGTGTAGGAAGGCCATTTTAGCGGGTGTGTTGTTTTTGAGCGTACCCGTCTCACCATGGTTTAAAGGGGACATCGCATGGTTTTTGGGGACCTCACTTGGTGGTACACATTCAGCTTGTTGTTTGGCCGATCAACTCATGAAGTGAGGGGACCTTTATGTTTCCCTTTCTGAGAGCTGTAAACTTGACCCTTTGCAAAAAGGCCCATGTCAAATCGCAGTTGTGCCACGATTAAACAACACAACGAAAACAATCAAGCAGGGGGCCTTATATCATTGTCAGACTTAGACTTGGCTTGTTTGTCTGGTTGCCTTCAATATCCCCTACCAGCATGGGTGTCTAAGTCTTCCCCTTCAATCCCCTACCTCCCTGGAGGGTTTCAGATTTTGGTGGCTTTGCCATCACCCCTGGTTGGGAATTGACAGAAAGCTGTGGGAGGACTCCTACACGTTGCCAGACTTCCGCGCACGTTTGCCATGGAATCCGCGTTTTGGTCCCTTTGAAAAATGGTCCAAACCAGAGCCCTCTGAGGTTCCATGTTCGAGAGGGTATCGTCCATGTTCGAGAGTGTATCGTCCTTCTTCGAGAGGGTATCGTCCTTCTGCTTTTCATGGTTGTTGTTGTGAAACATGTTTCCCATTTTTGCCTATTGTGGTTTAGTGGTTGAAGTCCAACCACTTAACTGCTAAAATTCTAAAAACATGCTCCCCTTCCAACGTCAACCAAGTTTTGCCCAAATCGGGTGTTCCCCCGATTTTCCTTTCAACCAGTTTCTCTGTGGGTTAGAGCATGTGCATTGATGACGTGGTCCACACCTTCTGTTGCTTGGGGTTGGTAGGGATTATATCATTAGCCACTTAGGGGCTTGAGACGACCTGTGTATGAGAGCCTTTGGCAAGGAAATCACAACTATGGCCCAGAGGTGTTTTTTGTTTTTGCCATGGTCGATGCGTAGTTGGTCTTTTAGGATTCCAGCTTCCAGCTCGATGTCTTTAGGTGCTTTGCAACATGACATTACCTCTTGAGCCAACTTGAACCGTTCAAGGGAAACGTTGTTTTTTTGCTTTTCCTATCTCCTTCTCTTTTGTCTTGTCTTTCCTTTACTTTCCTTTGCTTTTTGACTTTGCGTTCCACTTGCATGTTTCCAAAAACAAGGCCACCAAAGGTGTTTCAAAGGTCGGCAGCCCTTTTGGGCCACGTGATAGGTGACCGGGGAATCCATGTAAGAACACCCATGCTATCATTTAGGCTAAGCATTGGCTCGAATCTGAAAGTGTTTCTTTTGAACAACCCAAAGTTGTTCATGCCTGGAGTCTCCATGACCCTTTAAAAATGGCTCCCCTTTACCCCTTTGCTTTGGGTAATGGCCAACCATTTTTAACGGGTCCTTAGGGAGACTCCAGGAATATGCAACAAAAATATTGATTCTGTTGGTTGGTGGTGAACAGATTGAAAAAACAAAACACAAAAACTATTCTACCCCTGGTTGAAAAAGAAAAACAAAACCCCCCCAAAAAAAAACGGCAAAACCATCCCCAAAGGTTGGGCCTGGTAGCTAGAGCTTTTTCAAGCGTCCCATGCTCAGGCTGCACGCAAGCTGCAGGCGCGGATGCGGATCGATCGATCTGACGATTGAGGTCTCGTTGCTCCCGTCAAAGCCTTCTTCCGTTTGGTTGTGAGTTCCCTTGTCTCAGTTGTTCAAAGCGAATCGACCTTTTGACCTTTTGGTTTTCCTTGTTGGTCTATTTTTAGTAGAGGTCCCAAAAGGTTAACCTTTTTTAAACAGGTCCTTTGGGCAAGTGAGTTGTTGGTGTAACAAGGTTGGGAGTTCCCTTGGTTGGGAGTTCCCTGTTTGATTTGTTTTGGTAATCCTTCATCGGGTCCTACTGTAAATGGTTGCGAAATTCAGAAATCGCACCACCGTTCAGAAACAATAGAGTGATATGATCCCCTGTAAATACCAACTAACAGTGGTTTCCCATGGTGTCTTGGGTGGTGCAACAAGTTTGGGTACTATGTTTGGTTGTCATGCACTCGGCTTCCATTTGCTTAAGACTTGTTATTCCCCTTGTTGGTTTCAAAGGGAATCGATTCCACTACTGGACACATTTTTTTCATTTTTCCCCGGGGGCTCCTCAGCAAATGGAAGTCGGGCATTCCATCCCCTCAGCCACAATCAAAACCTGGGTAGATGAAGGTTAGGGACGATCCCAACCATACATAGCTGCGGATATCCGCCTTCTCAATTCTTGAAGCATGGTTCTGGGTCGGCCACTGTTGTACCAGGTTTTGATTGCGACTCAAGTGCCCCAAACATGGTGGGTGTCATTGTTTAGGTGCCCCCCAGAATGGACTTCTCTTAGAAGCACAAAAAAGCAACTCCAAGGAAAGTCGCATCCAAGACTGGGGGCCGTTGAGCGGTTTCATCGACAGGGGCTTCGCTCTTGAGGGGCGCGGGTAGCTTCTTACGGTGGACCAGGTCCCCAGGTGCCATGGCAACGTGAAAGGGTACCAGGTACCCGCAGGTACCTGTTTGTATCTTTGGGTAATCCTTCATCGGGTCCTACTGTGGTTGCGAAATCCGGACATCGCACCACCGTTCAGAATCCCTGGAATGGTCTGATTCTCCTGTAAATACCAACACATTATGGTTTCAGCCATGGTTTCAAAGTGGTGCGAAATGGATTTCGCAGCCATCCACAGTATGTTGCCCAGTTCAGCTTGTTCAACCATCGCCTTGGGCCACTGCTATACGAGCTTTCACTTTTTGAGTGATGATTAAGCCGAGGCGTGGAAAACCTGTGCTGGGCTGTCTTGCTCCAGAAAACAGCTAGCTTTTGGCGGAAGTGCATTTGGCTCGAAAAGCATATTCGGATTCTACGGCCTCAGTTCGGCTCGTCATTTAGTGTGACTCATCGAACGGATGGGAAACAAAGGCAAGCCCTTGATGAAAGGATTGAAAGCAAAGCGAAGCCCTGCTGATGGAGTGAAGCAACGGTTTCATGCCAGTGCCAACCCACTGGGACTCCTAAATGCCCACGGTTGTAACGAGGGATACCTTGAATGGGCAATAAAAGAGGGCTCAGTTCGGTTTCGTTTGTTTCCTGCGTGCCCTTTAACATGGCCACGCAAAAAAATTGAGCTCCACTCGTGTTGATATGTATACATCGGTGTCGCTTGAGTCAGGGCCGCGGGCTCCCAAGTTTAATTCGGATGGTTGCGAAATCAGTCGCACCACGAAATGAAACCATTGGAAACTACGGGGCTTGTTGGCATGTACAAAGAATCAGACCAGAGCTTCTTCGGTGGTGGACGAAATCCACAGCAAATTTTCCAAAGGCGTTGAAGTGGGTGGTTGTTCCTCTTTTCCTTGCCAGACCTTTTGGCCTTTTGGCCGCAACCAAAAGGTGATTGCCGTTTATTGGTTCCTTGCTGGGCATAGGTGTCACCCAATGTGATCAGAGTGAAATGGGTGCTGGACTTGTACACTTTGACTCTGCGTTGTAACACGGAACTCAAAAAGGAGTCCCCCGCAAAGGAGTTTTGCTCTTGAAATGTTGGCTTCTTGGGTTCCGTCTTCAAGGGCGAAGTGTTTGTCCACCTTGTGGACATCCTTGTTGGGTTCCATCTTCATTCGAGGGAGAGGTTTTTGTCCACCTTGTGGACATGCCCGTCCTATACTGCTATGCAATATATCTTTGGTTTGGTATATCTGCCCGTATCTGGCACGGGTATATCTTCCCGTTGCTTCCCGCGTCGGCGGCCATGGCTTGGCGGTGCTGTGTGGCGGCATGCTCACTTATGCGACCTGGACTCCGTCTGGTGCGGTTCGGCTTGGGTGTCAGTCCTGTGGGGACTCGGGTGCGTGTCCTTCGCTCGATGATGTGCTCTGGGTCTGCTCGGCTCACGATCGCCTTCGGGACCGTGGCCCGCCGGCCCCCGCCTGTCCTTTGGCTCGCCGGCTTGGCTGGTCCTTCCCTGTCGGTCCTCTGCAGGAGTGCCTCGACCGTCTCGAGGTCATGGGCTCCATTCGGCGTGCGGATGTCGTGAGTCGGGTGCGTCGGCGCGCCTGGGGGGGCCACCCCGGTCCGCCAGGTGGCGATGCCCCGGGCTGAAGGTCTCTCCGGTGTCGCTTCTGTGCTTGTTTGCCGGCCTCGGTTCTGCCATGGGTCTGCGCGCGTTTCGTGCTTCTCTCGCCCGTCGCCTTTGTGTGGCCGATCTCTCGGGTCTGCTCTGTCCCTCTCGGGTTTGAGCCGTCTCGTTTCTTTCGCTGTCCCGGCTCTGTGGGGTCGTGGCTCTCTTTTCTCCGTCTCCCTGCCTTGTCTCTGCCTTGGCTTTGCGCCCGGTGCCTCGCCTGTCCCTGCGGGGTTTGGCGGCTCCTGCGGCTGTCCTCGCTTGGTTCCTCTCTGTCTCTCGTCGTGTCTTTGCCGCTTTCGGCTTTGCTCTCGGCTCCGCCGCCTCGCGTTTTCTCCGGCCTCCGGGCCTTGGCGGCGCGTCGTTTTTCTCTCCTCGCGCCGGCCTTGGTTGGCCCTCGGCCGGCTCGGGGTCTCTCTTCTTGGCTCTGCCCTGTGGGTCCTTCCTTGGCGGTTTGTCTGGGCGCGTCTTTGTCCCTCCGGGGTTTTGGCCGTCTGTTTTCTCGCCGCCTGGTTGCCTGCCTGCTGGGGTCGTCTGTCTCTCTTTTCCCGCCCGCCCCTGCTGGGCTTGGGTCGGCGTTTTTGCTCGCGGCCTCTGCGCCGCCGCCCGCGCTCATCAAGCAGGGGGCCCGCCCTCTGGTTGATGCGTGCTTCCCGCCCCTTTCCCCCCCTTCCGCCCTTCCCGTGCTGTCAGCCCGCGTCAGGTTGCAGTTCTCTCCCTTCCCCCTTGCGAACGAAACAACCATTGCAGGTTCATGGCCATTATGTCCGCATCCAAAAAGCAAAGCAGTCTCCCAAGCCTTCCCAACGTAGCTTCAATGATTGGAGGGGAAACTAATACTAGTGTGAAGAGACAAATTCCTGCACCACCTAAGAAACCCTGATTGACGATTCCCCTGAAACTGCCAACAAACCGTGGCGTGGTGCGATACCATTCACGTGTCAATACATGAAGTCTTCATGCCTCTGGCCAAGTTGGCCAAGCGAACGTCATGGGGGCTGGGGAGGGAGGGGAGGGGAAGGAGCCCAAATAAGCCTAAATCAGGCCATACTGTGGATGGACGAACTCCTACAACACTAAACCATAACGTTTGTTGGCATTTCTAGGGCAATCCACCAATCCGCAGGATTTCTGGATTTCCACGGTAGGGCTTAGGGCTTAGTAAGGGCTCCCTACTTCCGCCAGTCCGTGTCTCCCCCCACGCCCCCCGATGCCGGTTTCAGCGGCTCGCTTCCGTTTCGGGCCCGCGGGCTCGCGGGCTCGCGGAGGGGGCCCGCGGGCTCCGGGAATTGGCTGGTTTTTCTTTTGTCCCTTCAAAGTTGTTAGGGAAGAAAATGGCATTGGGGACCTCAAGGTCCCCACCCCACTCCTGAGAAAGGGATTGGGGATGATGCCAGGAGGAACTTCAGGATCAAACCAAGAGCCGAGAGGAGGCTGGAGCCGAAGGTGTGGGGGTCGTCTTGGGGAGTTTTAGAACCCAAACTCCCAGGCGGGCTCGTCGTTTTGGTTTCTCTTTAGAACCATCTCAGCTCAGGTTGGTTTCTCCACCAAAACATGACGGTCAGTTGGAATCTTACGGAGAAGGAGGCTATGACTACTTAGATGGTCACCCATGAGGTAGAGGTTAGCTCTGTTGCCCAAAGCGAATCGACCTTTTAACCTTTTGGTGCCCTTGATTTGGGTTCCCAATTGTAGTCATGGCCCTAAAACGTTGGCCTCTTACTTCTGGGTCCGAACTGGGCAACTGAGTTATTGCGATCCAAGGGAACTAAGCTTCATTTGCCCGTCGCCGTATGCTAAAGTCCTGGCTTGAAGAATGAAGTCGCCGACTTCATTGGACCTGGCTCTGCAAAAAAAAGAAAGAGGCGCCACACAAGACGTCCATTTGGTTAAGTTGTGTTTCCCCCTGCTGGTTTTGAAGAGAATCTATCACCACTGGATTTTTTTCCAAGCGGCTTAAGCAAATGCAGGAAGACCTGGCCTTCCAGCAGTGTCAATTGTAAGACAGTGGTTTTTTGTGTCAGACAGGACAGGGCCTATTCAGGGATTCGAGCCAACTTGCCACCTCTGCTTTGGGCACCTTGGTGGCCAAAAACCATCCTCGGGTACTCGCTGGTTTCTGGCCTCATAAGGTTCAAGGCCCCGTGTTTCCTCATAATTTTGCGCTTGGAGTACACATGCTTGCGGGTTAACATGGAACCCCTTGAAGGAGGGTCTTGCAAAAAGACACCTCTAAAAGGCTTTGTTGGGATTGCATGTGGGTCTGCTTGGGCGTATTCAAATCATCCGCACGTCCCGCTGAGCCCTCGTTGTGTTTCGCGCAAAGGCCACTGATCGCCTCGCTCAACAAGCCCAAGTGGAACAGGACCGGGGATGTCACATCGATCCCAACCCGCGAAGACCAAAAAACCCTCCAACGACGTAATTCTACGTGGGATTTTTCACACAAGCTTCACTGAGAAGTCCCTTCAAGGGACCGCTTCAGGGGGGTTACATGTTAGTTTTCATGGCAGCAAACAAATTGCATGTGGGGTATTTGTTCCTCACTTGCATTGCGGGCATCAGTTGCTTCCTCAAATCGGTTTCCTTGTTTCCCTGTAAACCCACTCTGGCACCGTACGTGGAGGGGACGAGAATGGCAGCTTTTGCTTGACCAACCTGAGGGACTCAACAAAGCGAGCCCCTTCAACCCCCCAACGCTGGTGGTCATCTCACTCTACTCCCCCGACCCCCTACCAGCCCCAGCCCCTGTCAGTTGACCACAATCTAAGAGGATGGTGGGCTGATGGTTCCCCCTTAGTTTCGTGCCGAAGTGTGTGGCCTGGACGCTGTTCTTTGCACGCGGGTTTTCCAACTGAGTGAGAATTGGCGGTCGGTTAGCCAACACGCGCCGAGTTTACGCCAAGAGCAGGATCGACCCAGACGCCAGACACAACAAAAGAAAGCAAGAAAGACAGAAAAATGAAAGGTTTCACAGATGCCTTGGTTTATACATCTGCTACGACAACTTTTTGCAGGCCTAGAGGCGTAAACGAATCCCTGGTTGCTGCACTATACTGGTTAGCAACTGGGATCCATTGGGCCTGTTTTTGTTTCAGTGTGTGTGTGTGTGTTGTGTTGTGTTTGTGTTTGTGTTTGTGTTTGTGTTTTTGTTGGGTTGTGTTGTGTTGTGTTGTGGTGTGTTGTGTTGTGTTGTGTTGTGTTGTGTGAGTGTGTGTGTGTGTGCGTGTCGTGTCCGTGGTTTGTGTTGTGTGTGTGTGTGTTGTGTGTGTGTGGGTTTATGTTTGTGTTTGTTTGTTGTGTCTGGCTGCCTGTCTCTCTAATTGTTTGTCTCTGTTCGTGTCTCCGTGTGTGTGCGCGCGCGGGTGTGTGTGTGTGTGTGTGTGTGTGTCTGTGTCTGTGTCTGTGTCTGTGTCTGTGTCTGTGTCTGTGTCTGTCTCTGTCTCTGTCTCTGTCTCTGTCTCTGTCTCTGTCTGTCTGTGTCTGTGTCTGTGTCTGTGTCTGTGTCTGTGTCTGTGTCTGTGTCTGTGTCTGTGTGTGTGTGTGTGTTTGTGTGTGTTTGTGTGTGTGTTTGTGTGTGTTTGTGTGTGTGTGTTTGTGTGTGTGTGTTTGTGTGTTTGTGTGTGTGTGTGTTTGTGTGTTTGTGTGTGTTTGTGTGTTTGTGTGTCTGTCTGTAAGTGTCTGCGCGTCTGTGTGTTTGTGTCTGTCTGTGTGTTTGTGTGTTTGTGTGTTTGTGTGTGTTTGTGTGTTTGTGTGTCTGTCTGTAAGTGTCTGTGTGTCTGTGTGTTTGTGTGTTTGTGTGTTTGTGTGTTTGTGTGTTTGTGTGTTTGTGTGTTTGTGTGCTTGTGTGCTTGTGTGCTTGTGTGCTTCTGTGTTTGTGTGTTTGTGTGTTTGTGTGTTTGTCTGTTTGTGTGTTTGCGTGTTTGCGTGTTTGTGTGCTTGTGTGTTTGTGTGTTTGTGTGTTTGTGTGCTTGTGTGCTTGTGTGTTTGTGTGTTTGTGTGTTTGTGTGTTTGTGTTTTTTTTTTTGTGTGTGTGTGTGTGTGTGTTTGCGTGTTTGTGTTTGTGTTTGTGTTTGTGTTTGTGTTTGTGTTTGTGCGTGTTTGTCTGTGTGTCTTGTCTCTGTCTCCGTGTTCTGCGCGTTTTTTGTTTTTTTTGTTTTTTTTGTGTGTTTGTCTCTGTGTCTCTCTGTCTCTCTGTCTCCGTGTCTGTGTGTCCTGGCGTCTGTGTGGTTTTGTCTCTGTTTGTGTGTGTGTGTCTGTTTGTTTGTGTGTGTTGCTTGTTTGTTTGACGTGGCCTGTGAGTGCTTGCTTGAGTACCACCGTTCGGGCGATATGACGGACTCCAAAAGGACAACCACCATTCTAGGTGTCCCTACTAGTTACAGGAACCCTCTGAAATATTCCGCTTCTTCACTGAAAGGGAGGACCCCGGACGAGTACCGTCCGGATCGGTCCGCGGCTAACATTGGGCTCTACACTTCCCATGGAAAGGGAGCCAACTATGCGCCCGGTCACATACAACTATGATGTTGCCTCACCTAGTTTAACCTGAGCTCAACATGGCAGTTTGAGTTTCTGTAAGGGGTAGGGGAAATGAAAGGGAGACCACCATGTTTGGGGGTCATTTTTGTTTGTGTTTGCGCTTGGGGTTTCCCTTTTGACACTCAGTTTCTGTGTCCAGGGAACCACTCCGGGTGATATTTCCATGCCGGCTCAACCGATTCCCAGTCAAATAATCGCCTTGGCTGACCCAGTTTGGATAATGAAACTTAGGTAACTCATGACGGTTATATTACCCTCCCCTTTGTTTCAATGGTTTACACGATCTTACATGCAACCCAGCCCTCCCCAAAGAAAGCCTCCATTGCTTCTCACTCCCAGCATAGAACTACTGTGGATGGTTACGAAATCCATCGGGCCACCTAAGAGAGCATGCTTGAAACCCGAACGTTTATTGGTATGTACTGTTGGGCAATCAAATCGAAAACCAGTGCTTCGTAGATTCGATTTCTAGATTTCCATTTCAACCATGCACAGTACTTTGTTTACACCCCCCCGCCCAAACTGGTGGTTTATATGTGATGTCCCTTTCAAACCCAAGAAGTGGTGACTTACATGTGTTTCTTTTTTACCCCCTTCCCCCTTTCCCCCGCAACGAAATTGGTGGTTTACACGTGATTTCCCTTTAAAGCCCAACTCAGTGATGACTCCCAAGACGACAAAAACCGGGCCATTCCTGCAACGAGTTCTTGGGAACTCCCCCGAAAAATCCAATTCCCGGGGTGTTCGGCTTGTGGGGAAGAAACAATCCAAGTGCCGGGTTGCCGAGTTTCTTGGGAAACCCCCGAAAACATCCACTCCCCGTTTTTTGTGTGTGTTGTTTAAAGCAAAAAAACATGTTGTTTGTTTCGGCTGGGCACGGCAGCTGTTTTTTACACGACCTCCCGTGTTTTTTTCTTTCCCCGGCCGAGCGGCGGGCTTTTCCACGCGCGCGTCAAGTCCGTCGGGAAGCCGCGGCTCAGGAGCTGAGGCAGGAGCTGTGGAAGGTCCGGGAGGAGCTGGCGGAGCTGCAGATCCGCGAGGCGCGTCTTGGGCTTTCGGGCTGTTCCGAGGGCTCCGAGGGCTGCGAGGCCAGGTTTGACGGCTCCGAGGGCAACTGCCCCAGCAACTGTTGCCTCAACATCACGGGGAGAATTCCCTTTCTCATGGGTAGTTCAAGGGTCCAGGTACAAAGTGTGGCTACTTTTGGGGGGGCCACATGGTTGTTGTTTGGAAACATTTGTCCCATTTTTGCGTCAATTGTGGTTTAGTGGTTGAAATCCAACCACTGAACTGCTAAAATTTGAGAATGTTTGCTCCCCAAACCCAACGTCAACCAAGTAAAAGCTTTGGATACACGATTGAGCAAACCAACAGAATTGTTATCGTCAACCTGAAAAAACCCACCTTTTGGCCTAGACCCTTGCACCTGTCTTTAGGGGACTTCCCAAAAAGGATGGTGGGGTTTCGTTTCCCTTGAAGAAATCCAAAGGATGGGTAGCCTCAAACAACAGCGCCCGACCGATTGTTGATCAACCCACAATCCATTCTTGATTCTTGATTCTTGATCCATGGCCCGCACACCTACCTCAAGAGAGGTTAAGTGAGGGGGCGCAGCGAATTGGCCAAAGCCCAAGCAGTGACTCAAGTCCGAGTTTCGGAATTCGATCGGAAGTGGGCGCCACTTGGGTTCAAAATGTCTGGCTCCCAAATGACCCTGGGTAACTTTTTCCACGTTATTTTCCCATGGATCCCATGCAAAGGACCTTTGACCAGCCCCCAAATAGATGCCCAGTAACCATGGGAAAATAATCTTTGGGTTAGGGGAACCCTTCCCCAAAAAAGTTGAAAAAGGGTCGGAATTTTGTCGGCTGCAACGACCTGCTAGCAACGACCTGCTAGTGAGTTGCGGCCAAAAAAACCTCACGGGTGTTGCCGTCCCACCTTTTTTTCCCATGTGGAACCGTTTGACGTTCGGAAAAATGGTCCCTTTAGAGGAACATGGGGGCCCATTTGGGTTTGTCTCAAACTAGGGCCACCCACCACAATGGGTGGCTTCCTTTTGGTTTCCCTTTAACACCACCAACCGGCGTTTTCCATGAGGCACTTGGGACCGGCTGTGCTCAGGCCAACTGATCCCACCGGGGCTCCCAAAGGGCCACGCAACCTTTGCGAGTGGCTTCAAAGATCCGGGGGGCGTCGCTTCTCAGGAATCGAACACTCAACCTTCGTGGGTGAAGCCACCCCGAAGCCGCCCCAACGGTACCAAAAAGACAACACATTTTGGGGAGTCAAGGGAACTAGCCTCCAACTCCGCAAACGCGTGCCGCGCCCATGTTGAGATCCGTGTCATGTTGAGCTGGTGCCTTCTGCGCATCCTTCTGCGCGCTAGGAGCAGAGCCGGGAGGTCGCGGCGGAGATGGAAGAGGAGATTGACAACTTGCTTCGCGAGGCGCTCCGCAGCATGTAACTCTTACTCTGTTGCCCAGTGGATTCCGCCCTTTTTCCGCCTCTCTTTGGGGAAGGGTTGCAATGATTTTAAGCCCAACCAACCAAAGGATGCCTTTCTTTGCCCATGGCCATTGAGCATCTGAGCTTGACTTGGCCGGAGTCCATCCTTGAGCGAGGGTATGATGGGGTTTAGTAGGGGTTTCCATTCAACCCACAAGTTGAACTTTTAGCAAGAGATCGGTTTGGGCAGCCCAGACAATAGGCTGTAGTAACTTGTTCTAACCACGACTCCCAACCATGACTCTCCAACCGCCCTAGATTCCAGAAAACAATCTTGTCACTTCCTATTGGTTGTTCTATCCACCCCGACTTGCGATCGGACGTTTGTCGCTTTTTGGGAAGGACCAGTTTAGCAGTAACAAACGTTGGAGAATGTGTTTGGCCAATCCACATCGAAAGTGAGTCTAACCACAGGAACCCCTCCTGTAAAAGCAACTGTCTAGATTGTTTTGTAGGTTGTAGTAGGTTACAACCTAGATAATAGTAGGCTGTACTAGGTTGCCACCGAGCTTGTAGCAGGTTCCCCTGTGTTTGAGACACTAGGTCTCTTAGTAGTGCCCTTTTACCCTTTTTGGGGGGGAGGGTTCCCCTACTAAAATAGACTACTGAGAAAAGGGTACCCTTATTCTAACTTCAGGAGGACCTAGGACATTGTCAGACCTGGGGCGTCCCTTGAAACTCAAGCACCCAAGATCAGGGGTGCCTTTTGTCCATAGAAATCCACCGGAGGTGCGGAGGTCTGGTACCTGTGTATGCTGTGTGGGTGGTTTTTACTTGGGCGAAAGGGGAACCGGGAGAAGAGAGAGCCAGTTTGGGGGTTGCCCTACTTTTTGATTCACACACTTTCCTGGCATGGGAATGGTGCCTTTGGAAGGTGACACGAGATGGCTTGAGCGATGTGCGTGGCTTTGGAGTCAGATCCAAATTTGAGTTTATGAAGATCAACTATATAAAGTACGGACCCAAATCAAACATCTTGCTTTTGGTTGTGGGCAAAGGCTGAGATGGTCAAGTGGGTGGTTTTCTTTGGTTCCCCGGCTTTTTTGCTTCCGCGTCACACCTCGGAAGGCTGGCGAACGACACCCCAAGCGTTTGAGCCCAAAGCAGCACGGGAAGGACGACAAAAAAGATCCAGCGCCAAGCGACGACGAATCGCTTGGATCCTATGCTAGGATCAATTTGGCGGGCCTATCCAAATCGCTCTTCGATACTTTGGGCGATGAGCACGATGTGCGGAAGGTGCTCGAAGGTATCGGCTTAGATTGCGGTGATGTTTGCGATGCTATCAAAGAGTACAACAGCCAGGCCTAAGGCCGAATCTCCGACATCGACCCGTGAAAGAGTGATGCGTTGTTAGGGGCGCCCGCAACCATACAGTAGTGTTTGTCCTTTTCATTTTCGCCCACCACAAACAAGCAAGCAGCCTCAAATTCCCGAATCATGATCTTTTGTTGTCCAAAAGTGAAGGCAACTTGGGTGGCTCGTTTTGTTTTTCAGTTGTTGACTGCTTTATAGGTAGTGCAACTACTTAAGTGGGTGAAATCCATAGGAAACTAACCCCTACTCCAGAATTATGGTTGTAACACTTGCCCCTGGATTGAACTTCTTTTTTTGCAGCTTCAGGGTGCTTCTTATAGTAATGTCAAAAGCTGGCTGGAAAGCCGGTTCGTTCTGGGTGAATCAGAATGCACTTCCAAAACTCAGACATGAACCAAGCATCATTTCAAGGGAGCTCTTTGATTGAACAACCTCCTCTTGGTTCAGCTTTTGAAGGGTAATATAAGGTCCGAAGGATTACACACACGATTTTCTCTCATTCAGACAGTTGGTCTGAAAGAGCCACACTGCATTCCACATCATTGTTCGGCCCTGCTTCCATTTGCTTAAGAATACTTGTTATTTCCCTTTGCTGTTTTTTCCAGGGAATCTATCACTACTGCACATATGGCTGTGGGTCAAAACCAATGGTACCATTTTGGGGTAGGTGCACCACCCATTTTCGTCTATTTTAGTGAGGATTGTGATCTTCACTGGGGTTACGATTTGGATTTGGACGCATGGCCCTGCATTTGTTTTTGCCAGGGGGCTTCTCAGCAAATGGAAGCAACCGGTGGCGCCAGATTCTGGTTTAGGATTTTTGGGGGTCCCCTTTGTTTTCCACTAGCTAGGCAAAAAGTAGCTTGTCACATATTACTGCGGAGTTATTCGCCGTAGCTGCAACGGTGCAGCCAGCACCGCGGGCCTTCCACAGTGGCTGTCTTGCTGGGGTCCTACAGTACTTCCAGCCTGAGTTTGAACTTTCGGGCGATGGCGAGGCCAAGTCGGCGCAACAAGCCCTGGAGAAGGCTGCGCCGCGGAAGACCCGCCGCTTCTGGGCGCGCAGCTCAGCTTTTTCATGGCTTCTGAGCGTCGAAATAGGGGGGGGACGGGGGCTAAGCAGTTGTCCTTTGGGTTTCCCTCTGTTTAATTTAAGCAGAGAGGGAACTGCAGAAAGAACCACATACGCTGCCGTCCTGAATTTCGAAATGCTATGCTCCCCACATTGACACGGGTGTGTCTTTTGTGAGCATGCCTTACTTTTGTAGTTTCAAAAGGAAATCGAAACCACCCATTTTGTGGGGCGGGTCCCCTCAGAAACGGCGTATCCACATGGAACCCGAAGCAAGTCTGAGTTTGAGAGCTGTCTGTGAAGGGAGCGGTTCGTATCCGGCGAACATATCATGGGAATCACGTCGTTCAGTGGCCAGCCATGCGACCTGCAAAAAGAAATGACGCACCGTCTAAATCCAACTTTTTATTGTTATGCCCACCCGCCCGCCCGCCCGCCCGCCCGCCCGCCCGCCCGCCCGCCCACCCACCCACCCACTCACCCACCCACTGCTGCTGCTATCTCGACTACTGACACTACGTCACTACGGGGTTGGTTTGTCTCTCGAACCAATCACACAGTTCTCATCGCCAGTGGCGGTTTTTCCTCCATGCACTTGATCGCCCGCAAACCAGCCTTGAGCGCCCAAACCCATTGCTCAACCCTCGCCTCAGGCTTCCGGGGACCGAGGTTTTCTCCTGGTGATTCAAGCAGCCACACTCACCCCCTGAACGGCAGGTGCACAAAGCGAATCAACCTTACAACCTTTCGGGATTCCCATGTAACATGTAAAACATCTCAAGGTTCCAACAGGTGTTCACATCGTACTTCCAGGTTGGGACCACTGAGGTACTGTAGGAGACCCATTCAACTAGTGAATCGGTTTGGGCCGCTGGACAGCCTGGGGCCATGTACCCCGAAGTCTTTTGTTGAGGGTGCCCTTTGTGCGGTTGCTTTAAAGGGAACCCAAGGGAAAAAAATGGTTCCCGCAAAGGCACACCCCAAACTTTAGGCAGGCGGAAGCACATCGACTTATATCGACTTATATCCACTTATGTAGAAGCCTGTTAGCGGAAGGAACCCTTCACACAGCGGAAGGTTTCGGGGAAGGGTTTGATACGTCAAGGGACAAAAGTGAGAGACAGTTCCTGGGGAAGTGATAATCTGACCAGTTTCTGGTTGATAACCACTTGCCCAGTTTCTGGACTTTAGTCAGTTTTTGGGGGTTTGGAGCATTTTAGTGGGAAACAAGAAGTCTCGACTTGTTTGCACCTGTGGATGGACAAACTCCACTTCGCACCAGTTGGGATGGATGACACCTTTTTAAATGGGATCAGCCACCTACCGATTGGCGCGTTCAGTGGATGTTGTCCTTCCACAGTCTCCACTGAAGTGCGTTGTAATATTTTGTTCAAAAGGATCCACCTCAAAAGTGGTTGGACATAAATCCCCACTATCACAATTACACCCAGCCATTGTCCTGTCCCCTCGCAGCCTTTCCGCTGAACTGGCACGTGACGTGGCGCGACGACCTCAGTTGGGCTGCAGATATATGCTTATGTATGGCAAGTGGGAGCCGACCAACTATGACGTCAACCCAATCCCAAAAAGAAGCTGTACCATGGAACACTTCCTCTGCAGATATGCCGTAAAGGCAGCGCCCACCCATGGTTTACCTGGCGCCATGTTGGGTGAGCAAAGGCCCTTCCTTGCGGAGGGTTTCTACGCATTCAAGGGAGCAGTCCTTTAATATGGAGCCTAAAAAGGGAGGGATCCTAACTTGGAAGATACCAGGGTGAGGGCAGCTTTTAGGTGGGATCTTGGGAGTTTTCCGAGAGAACCCTTGTTTGGTCTGTTTTAGCCCTTATGTTCATTCAGGCGGGCACCTTGCTACCTTAGTTGAACCGGACCAAATAAATCGGTCAGCGGAAGCTCGCAGGTGTTCTGGTCCATTCGGCGCCCGACATCGCGACCTTTCTTGGGCTTGGGGTGTTTTTGGACATGGGCTTTTTGGCCAGATCAATGCCGGGTGGAACATTGGTACGCAGCTGCCTTTGGTTTCTCTTTACCGGTCAATCTTGCTCGCGCCGATTGGGTCGCGGATCAACTGTGAGTATTTTTGTACTAGAGGCATGATTGCTGGATTCCGTTTTCCATTTTGGTTTACTGCCCTAATAGGCCCCATTGGAGGGGAAACGAAACCAAGTGGAAGGTGGACCTCATAGAGGGCCCCTGTTGAGATGTCACAATTCTTGGGGCGGACCAAATGACCAGAATCCATGCACACTAATTCTCATGTCCAAATAAGCCCTAAATAAGGCCTTATTAAAAGGTTAATAAGGGCTTATTTGGGCTCCCTCCCCCCTTTGCTCCCTCCCCCCTCTGCTCCCTCCCCCCTCTGCTCCCCCCATGAAATTGGGATGGAGCCCGTGGAACCTGGGAGAAACGACAAACGAGGATCGACCCATCGGCTCGGAACCCTCCAGGCAAGCCTTGCCCAGTTCGGAGCGGGTGCGATGACTGGCAACTCTTGGTTTGTTTGTTACGGACACCGAAAGGGGATGCCGAGAGGGCGCCCAGTGGCCGGTTTGGGGGTTAAGTGCATGGGAAAACAACAGCAATTGGCGATCCAGGTGGGTTGCTTTCATTTGCTTTGACCAAGCTTCCCTTGGCACACACCATAGTTGGGAGCCGGGGCTTTTGAGTTGGCATGACTTTGGTTTCTTCCAGTTACTCACTTGCCCTCAAAGCGAATCGACCGGATCTGACCTTTTAGCCTTTCCTTTTTGGTCCATGTAAAGCCATAGACCCAAAAGGTGGACCTTTTAATTTCTGTGTCCGAACCTGTCAACTGAGCCTACCCTCCCACTAACAGAAGGGTAGGAGGGTACCTGGAAGATCAGTTTCCTCTCAAAGGTACCCCTTGTCACCCCTTGTCAGATGCCATGCACGTGTGAGTGGAATGGCATCTGAAAGCAGTGGACGAGACGTTTCAACTTGTGAGTCGGTTGCGAGACGCATTTCGGGCCTGGGAGATGCGAAACGAAAGCCGGGAAGTCGAA